CCCCGTCACGCCGTAACAGTGGTGGCAGCGGTGGGATATACCTCCACGCCCCCCCCGCCACCACGGCATAACACTCACATTTTCTAGACAGTCGGCCCATAGCTGGCGGTAAGGTTGTCAGCCTTATGCGCCGGCCGCCCTTTACCCCCAAGAATATTCCTGGTACTCATTTCTGTTAGAGCCTGAGTCGACCCAGGGCCATAGTGCGGCTAGATGGATTAGGTAAAATGAAAAATAAAATCAACCTCATCGAGATTCGATCCCGCAACCTTCCGGCTGGTAGCATAGTGCCTCAACCAACTATGCTACCGCGTGCCCCACCCAAGACCCGGTTGTACAAGTAATTACAGCACCACCGTTGATCTCCACATTTCACAATTCACCACAGCACCTGCTAAACCTTTTCCAGGCTGCTGTGTCTTCACCAACCGTTCCCTAACAAAGACTTCTAACAGTGGAAATTCTTCAGCATCATGCGCTCAGGTCCTCTTATCACAGTCACCGGTGCAGAACTCTTGTCAACTATCAACTCAACTATAGTCCAACCCTTCTCAGACTTCCTTGCAGAGCTAAACTGATCTGGTTGTCCAAGGTTTTTTTTGCAACTCCTCGATGAGGGCGGCGTTGACAACACACCGTTTTCCTCGTTGCATGCGTAACTGCTACAGCGGGAACGTGTAACTGAGCCGTTGCTCAGAAACGGGTATCATATAACCGCCAATTTCATGATTGTTGCATAGCAACTGCTTTACTTATTACCATATTATTCTCCCGGCTACGTCTAGGTCTTCCTAGCGGTATACTTCCTTCTGGCTTTCCCACCAAAATCATATATGCATTCCTGTTCTCACATATACGTGCTACATGCCCTATCCATCCCGTCCTCGACGTGACCATTCTAATTATATTTGTTATATATAGGAATTACATAGCATCGAACCACCGCACAGTGTAGAACACACCAAACGTAAATACGCCCAGACAAGGAACACACACGCATATTCCATGATCATATATAAGATACATATCGTGGGAATAGCATACAAAATACCCACACACTAACAACTCGCGTATCATTGAAACTTGTCTTTGGGCTTCACAGCCGGGCTTATGAAGTAGAAGCCACCAAACAAAAACCTACAGAACCAACATACATGCCCGATTTCTGCACTGTAGCAGTGAAACCTTATATACTTTAAGTTGGCATACATTTCCTTAATCTATCTTCAAAATCCTTTAATATTTTTTAATTTTTTTAATATACTTTCAATATGTTGTAATAATATATTCAATTTTTGATATATAGGGTAAAAATATGGAAACACTCAACAACAAAAAGAAAACACATTACAGGTTTTCTCCAAGTACTTCGGTTTCCCTGTCAATCTTCGTTCCACCAATTGCTTCACAATCACCCTCACCTATCATCTGCGGCTAATACAATAGGCCAGAAATGGCCGTAGTACAAGGGACTTAGTCCCACCCCATTAACAATAAAAAAAATATGGTGTAGGGCAAACTCTGGCTTGCAGAGCTGCTTGCAGTATCCCTGGAATGGATAAATAGTGGTCCTGATTTGCAAGGGAATCTTGTACCATTCTTCCTGCAAAACATTGGTAATTTCTATTAACGATGATGTAGGTGGATAGCGCGCACGCAGACAACTCTCAAAAACAGACCACAAAGGCTAAATAATATTTATATCTGGCGATTGTGGGTGTCATGGCAGACGTGACACTTCATCTTCGTGCTCAGAAAACCAGTCCTGGATGATGTGAGCTGTGTGAACACGGGCATTGTCATCTTGGTAAATGGCATCACCATTGGGGAACAAAGTTTGCACCATGGGATGGACCTGGTCGCAGTTGGCAGTGACGTGACCTTGCAGGGTAATGATGGGTCTGACAGAATACCACGATATGGCTGCCTATAACATGATCGAACCCCCGCCATGTTTCACTCTTGGCAGCAACCCAGTGGCGTGCCGTGCATGGAAGCAAGGGAAGCATTGCTTCCGTAGTTAAGAAACGAAAAGAAAAGAAGTCATATATAAATAATTCAATTTGAATAATAAGGATGTGATTATTGTCATCTTAACATTTTAGCGTGTGTTCCTCTTCAAGGCCACATTCCTACTCCTCCTCCCTTCCCCTGCTTGATGGGAATGACCAAATTTCCTTTCATTAATCTTCGTACGAATTCGTCTCACCCGAAGGGGGCAAGGGAAGATTGTTTTGGTTTGCTGGCACTAAGCGTGTGATATGGAAGTGAAAGATTATGTTCTTTCGATGGTTATGTGAAAATTAATTATGTGTGATTTCAGTCCTGTTGGGTGTTATAGGTAACACTAAGTTTTATTAAAATATTGAAAGTGCATATTTAGATGGCGTAAGATTGTATTTGTGATCGTATTTTGTCACATCGGAAAGAAGCTATCCGCGTTTAAGGGAAGCAAGTGTGATATTGTGGTACAAGTGGCAAGGGAGTGATTAGACTACACACACAGGGCACAACTAAAATGAATGCTGGCAGACATCGTGATTGCGGCTGTGCAGCCGAAAGCCTTTTAAAACGGGGGTTTAATAGCCGGGACTGTTCTGAAAAGAAAGTAATTATAGAAAGAGGACGACCGACATGCGAGTTGCCAGAACTTAAAGCACAAACCAAATTATGTGCGAAGAAATTTAATTTGGAACAGTATTCTAAAACAGAGTGGCTATCCGGTTGCCGTAATGTAGGAAAATTGTTTTGTTGGCCATGCCTATTGTTTCTCAATTAAAAGAATGTATGGAACAAGACTGGGTTTGGTGATATCAACAAACTTCATAAAGCATTGAAACGACATGAGAACTCTCAGACACATTATTTCAACAGTGCAACTTGTTATGTTCGGGAAATCTCGAATTGGCTGTCAACTTGTAAATCAAAAGCGCCTGACGATACTACAGCGCAATGAAAATGTGAAAGAAAGTAGAGAAATAGTGAAACGCTTGATTGATAGCATCTGTCATTTAGGAAAGAGGCAACTTGCCCTCCGTGGTCATGACGAAAGCGTGGATTCTATCGACCGAGGTAATTATGTGGAATTAGTTCACATGTTTAGGAAATATGATCATAAACTCAATGTTCACCTTGAGAAGAATAGAGTATTTACAGGTTTATCGAACAGAATACAAAACGACCTTATTGACTCGATACGTGACGTACATTTTGGTGAGTTGATTGCTATCAGTTCGTTTATTAGATACCACTGCTTCCCTTACCAAAAATAGTACCGCACGCCACTGCAGCAAACAACCTGGTTCGTAAGCTTGGGATGGCGTTCTCCAGACGCAAACTCAGCCAGAAGTCGGAAGCAGTATGAAGGTGGACTCATCCGACCAATTGACCGTCTTCCATTGCTCCATAGTCCAGGTTTTATGACTTCGGCACCACACTCTCCTCTTAGTGGCATTTTGATCACTGATGAGTGACTTTAGAATTGCAGCTCGTCCAGAAATACCCTGTTTCTGGAGTTCCCTTCGTACTGTTTTGGTGCTGACAGGATTTGTCAGCGTGACATTCACTTCAGCAGTCAC